GCGGGATACGGCCGGAGAACCTCAAGCAGGGTGGGTCCTCCCTGCTGGCGAGCGCGGGAGAGGCAGTGCCTGGGTCCCTTTCTCCCCATTTATTGTTATTAAGTTTATTCATTTAGAGGGGGTGCGAGCAGGGGAGGGGCAGAGAGAGGGAGAGAATCTCAAACAGGCTCGGTGCTAAAAGCACAGAGCCTCACGCACAGGGCTTGAACCCACGAACCATGAAATCGTGACCTGAGCCGAAACCAGGAGTCAGACGCTTAACCCACGGAGCCATCCAAGAGCCCCCTTTTTAAGTTATTACTTTATTTTTTTGAGTAATCTCTCCACCCAAGGTGGGGCTTGAACTCACGACCCCGAGATCAAGAGTCGCGCACTCCTCTGAGCCAGCCGGGCACCCCCTGTCTCTTCCTTTTGTCCCCTTTCTGTTCTGGAGCATTGGCCACAGCAGGAGCCCCAGTAGTCCTACATCTCCCAGGGTGACTGTTTTCAGATGGCTCTCAGGCACATTTGTGTCTTCACCTGTGTGTCATTTGGCAGTAGGGACCCAGAGAGTGTGCCGGCATGGGGGTGAGGAGGGAAGGTGGGGACAGATGGGAGGGTCTCGTGGATCTTCGTGAGGACCTCGGGAAGCCACGGGGAGGTCTGAGCAGTGACAGGCCCGGCTCAGGTTTCCACAGGTTCCTTCCGGCCACGGGATTGAGAAGAGACTCGGGCCACGAGGGTGGAAACAGGAAGAGGGGGCGTGTGCTGCCGGTGACCTGGTCATGGTCGGGGGGGGGGGGGGGCGCCGTGAGAGGTGACAGGACGTGGCCCAACTCCGGGTGCACCCTGAAGGCGGAGTCCGTGGGGTCTGCTGGACTGGCCGTGTGGGAAGAGTCACCCAGGGCGACTCTGAGGTCAGGGACCTGAGGTCCCGAGGTCCCTGCTTTCCCTGGTCCCCGTGGCCTCCTTTCTCTGTGCCTCTCAGATCCCCTGCGCACACATAACCAACCAGGCGGTGCCCCGGCCTGACCAGTCCCTTCTGGCTCCAGGCTCGGTCAGGTCCTGCTCCGCGTGGGCCGCCCTGGACCTGAGCGCTTCTGTCCGGGGGCGGGCACGGTGGCTCCGAGCCTTCCCTTGGCGGGGGAGGGAGAGGACCAAGGGCGTCTGTCAGGAGAGCAGGCGGGGCTGCCTCCGGAGCCGGAGGTCTGGGGGAGCACTCCTCGCCGTCTGTGGCGGGGGACCAGTCTTGTTTTTACCTCCGGTTGGAAAGCACGACATCTAAGACCGGTTCTCACTTGAGTCAACAGTAAAAATGACAGTCGGGTCGCTTCCGAAAGGCCACTCTCCTCCCTGCCTCTGTCGTGGCCGTGGCAGGTGTGATGGGCTCAGCAGCGTGGCACACGGTGCTAAAATCCACTTCTTCGTTCTCGTCAGGAGAAAACTTCGAAGTTGTTCAGAAGGAGGTGGCGGACATGCTGAAGGGCCGGATTCTAGTCGGACACGCGCTGCATAACGACCTAAAGGTACCGCTGCCTCGTGCGGGCTGCACCCCTGCTGTCGCCCACACCGTGTTCTGGACGCATTTCAGTGTTTGGTTTGTGGCACCTGGGTGTCGGGAAGGCCCCCCAACAGCATCAGACGCCAGTCGTCCAGTTCTCCCTGTGTCCTGGGGGAGCGCTGGGCGTTTCTCAGTTCTTTAATTTTTTTTTTTTTTTTAACGTTTACTTATTTTTGAGACAGAGACAGAGCGTGAACAGGGGAGAGGCAGAGAGAGGGAGACACAGAATCCGAAGCAGGCTCCAGGCTCTGAGCCATCCGCACAGAGTCCGACGCGGGGCTCGAACTCACGAACCGTGAGATCGTGACCTGAGCCGAAGCCGGACGCTCAACCGACTGAGCCACCCGGGTGCCCGTTCATGGTTCTTTAAAAGGCGTCCAGTGGTGCTCCTTTTACAGGAGGTAGACCTGAGGCTGAGTTGAGTGACGTGCCCACAGTGCCCACATGGCAGAGCCGGGCGCAAACCCAGACCTGGAGCCAGGTGCCTTCCCACTGCTCTAGCACGTTCCACGTGGACAGAGCCAGGCAGCCACTGCCGCCGCTCCACCCAGCTGGACGGGGCCTGGTGCTCCTCTGAGGTCAGAGCCACCGTCTGTGGGGACGCGTCCCCTGGCGGCCACTCCCTCCCAGCCGGCCAGTGCAGCAGGTGACGTGTAAGCTCACGAGTCCACTTCTGGCGCCCTAGAGGCCATGTGCTCGGCCTCTGCTCCCAGAGGGTCTCTGCTGTGGGCGGGACTGGCCCACCCGTTCTGAGGAGAGCCACGGGGCAGGCAGGTGTCCGTGGAGCCCTGGAGTCCTTGGGTGTTTCAGGCGTCGCCAAGTGTTGGTCCTCATGGTCTTTTAAAGTAACCCGGAAGTGGGGCGCCTGGGTGGCGCAGTCGGTTAAGCGTCCGACTTCAGCCAGGTCACAATCTCGCGGTCCGTGAGTTCGAGCCCCGCGTCGGGCTCTGGGCTGATGGCTCAGAGCCTGGAGCCTGTTTCCGATTCTGTATCTCCCTCTCTCTCTGCCCCTCGCCCGTTCATGCTCTGTCTCTCTCTGTCCCAAAAATAAATAAACGTTGAAAAAAAAAATAAAGTAACCCGGAAGTACTGAAATGAATGTAGCAGGCGCTCTGCCCGCCGCAGCACGGTGCCAAAGTCTCAGTGGCCCCCTCCCTGTTGGGCCATGCTGTCTCCTCACACCTGCTCCGTCCCTGGCAACTTGGGCAGGCTCGTGTCCGGCGGTCTCCTGAGACCGTCCTGAGGTCGCGAGATGAGCTGTTAGAACACGTTCTCCGTAACTTCCCCGATGTGCGACACCCACTCAGGACACAGGAGCGCAGTGGTTGCTGGATAATTGATGGCTGTCGGTCTCCGGTTTCCGTGGTTTCGAGATTGTGTTTTTGTTAACGTGGTTCTTGCTGTTGGACGTCGTCTTTAGTCCGTGTGAGAGTTTTCCATCCCAAGTCCAAGTTCACGTCAATACCTGCTTACCCGTGTGTGTCACCCGTTAGGATTCCTTGTAAGAGGCTGTTTGAAAAAAGGGAGTCCCACCGCTGCACGCTGACAGCGGCTGTGACCGTCGCTGTATTCTCTTCTTCCAGGTGCTGTTTCTTGATCACCCAAAAAAGAAGATTCGGGACACGCAGAAATACAAACCTTTCAAGAGTCAAGTGAAGGTATTTAAATAAGCACGGCTGTGTGCGTTGTAGTTGTTGGCTGGTTCACGTGATGATTGGTTTTGGGTGGCCTTCTAAGTTTTGAAACTAAGAAGTGTTTAAAAACAAAAAACAAAACAGTTTTACTGAACGTTGCCCTTTAAAAGTCAGTGTGACCAAGGGCCGGCTACCCTGGTCTCCACGGGGAGGCCCCCAGCAGTGGGAAGAAGCTGCCCTCGGATCTGCTCCAGAGGGAGTCACACACGCAGATCCCTTTCCAGGCCCTCCCCTGCGGGCAGACTGGGGTGTCACGTGCCCTAGGTGCCCCGGGCACTTCCGGTGAAGGCACATTGGAGGTCCCTGGGCCGGGGCTCAGTAGGTGACCCCCCCCCCCCCTGCTGAGGCCTCCACCCCAGCATGGCTGCGTGCTGTCCCCTGGCAGAGCGGAAGGCCATCTTTGAAGCTGCTCGCGGAGAGAATCCTGGGGGTCCGGGTGCAGCAGGCAGAGCACTGTTCGGTAAGTGTCCTGGGGTGACAGTCCTCAGGAATGGGGGCCATCCCTCACCTTGCGGCCAAGGCACTCTGTCGGGGCCCGGATGACTTATTTTTAGAAGGTTGCCGGTCCACAAAAGATGAAATGGTACAGCGGGCTTGCAGAGTGGCCGTTAAGTTCTGGATGTTTGTATGTAGCTCATCAACACTTACGCACAAAAAACTGCCACATGACAGCCCTTAGGAGAAAAAAATGCCCCGTCTAGATTGAAGCCTTTACAGACCGTGCGGCCCAGGCCGGTTGTTCCCCTGGGCCTTGGGACAGGCTCCAGTGACAGGGCTGGGGGGTGCTGGCACCAGCCTGCTGGCCCACGAAACCCAGCCCCTGCATCGAGGCCTCGGTCAGCATCCCGCCCGGACCCCCACTCGCATCTGCGTGTCTGCGTGCATCCTGTCGCATGCTGTCCGATACACCTCACGAGAGGCAGCAGGTCTGTTCCTGCCTCCCTCTGGTCCTTTCTTCCCCCACAGGCTGGCACCTGAGCTGCCAAGAGCCCCGCTGGGATCAGACCCCCAGGTGGCTGCTCTGCTTGGCTTTCTCCTTGGCGTGCCCCGCATGTGGCTCGAGGGCTCGGGTCGTGTGTGCCCTGCCCGTCGCCTGCTGGGACGGTCACAGTGGTGTTCTGTGCCCCCTAGATTCAGGATGCCCAGGTGGCGATGAGATTGTATGTCCTGGTGAAGAAGGAGTGGGAGAGTTCAGCCCAGGACAGGCGCCCCACGGCCCCCATTCCAGACAGCCACAGCACCTCCCGTCCGCAGGCGGTTGTGACCACGCACAAGACAGCTCGGGTCTCCCCGTAGCGGCAGCTCTGTTGAAACATGTTCGCCGTCCTGGCGGCAGGGCGTGGGGGCGGCCGAGAACTGCTTCCTCCCTCTGCCATCCCAGACCTGGCGCCCCTGCTGGGGGCAGGCACCTCGGCGGGCTCTGTCCTGAGGACTGACGGCAAGTCGGGGGGCGTTCTGCATTGTGCTGTCCCCACAGCGGGGTGGCATCTTTGCTGGGGATTCACCGGGTCCCAGGAGCCAGGGGCACTCAGCATCCACTGGGTTTGTAGCATCTTCCTGGGAGGAGGCCAGTCCCCTTTCTTTCTGTGCCTCGGGTCACAGGTCACGTAAAGAACCCCACCGGACTCACGGGCCGCACCCAGCGTGTGCAGTGAGCTGTGCTCCAGCCCCATCTCCCAAGTTTGCCGCGGCCGCCTCTGGACTTGGAGAGATTCTCTGAGGGTGCCGATCCTTTCTCACACCCCCAGCTCCACCCGCCAGGTTTCAACTTGGGGTCAGGGCCCACAGCGCGGCGAGGGAGGCTCAGCTCGTCTGAGCTGGGTGACCATGGTTCCCCCCCAGAGGCGGGTGTCCCTCCCCGTCTGGGACAGATGTGCTGATCCCCAGCTGTGGGGCTGGAGCACCGTGCGGGTCTGTCCCGGGTGTGAGGGTCTTTGAGAAGAGTCGGGAGCCCAGCATATGGCCCGGCTTTACCAAACCGCCTGACGTGGCACAAGGAAGCCCCGGACCCACTGAGGAGATTTAACACAGGCGGGCTTTTACTAGAGGTGGAGTGTGGGGAGGTTACTCTTTCCGCGTTTAGAGTGGTCTGAAAGGGCCGCTTTTTCCACAAGGGCCACGCTGATGGGTCCAGGGCCAAGGTCTGTGCGGAGCCTGCCAAATCGAGCCCCCGGGGCCCCACCGGTGCTCCACACTGCCCCCAGGGTGCCTGGACCCCCCCCCCCCCCCCCCACACACACAAAACCTAAGGAAAATGCCGCTCACCGGGCAGCTCCAGGGCCCGACAACGAAAAGAAGGGCGGGAGAGAAGGTGCGGGGAAGCGGGAGGCCGTGGGGTGTCTGCCTCCTCAGGGCAGAGCCGACTGTCCTCCCACGGAGCCTGGTGGCGTGCCGGCCTCCAGCCTCAGGAGTACCTTCTCTGCGTAGGAAACCAGCTCCTGGAAAGACAGCCAGTAGGCACCGTGTCTGTGACACTCTTGGGACCTACTCGTAGGTCTTTTTGTGACCAAATCTGCTCTTCTGTGAAGAGGTCCGATTGTCCCCGCCCCTTAGGTTTGGGGGGCCCAGAGACACATGTGAAGTCAAACGGGAAAAGAGTCATGAAGACTACACACACAGAGTGGGTGCTTGGGTGGCTCAGTTGGTTGAGCGTCTGCCTCTCGGTTTTGGCTCAGGCCATGATCTTGGGGTCGTGGGATTGGGCTGCACACGGAGCGTGGAGCCTGCTCGGGATTTGTTCTCTCTCCCTCTGCCCCTTGCCTGCTCGTGCCCCCTCTATAAAATAAAACAAAAAAAACACCGTACACAGAGCCAAGTCTGTTTGGCACAATGTGTCTTGTTCTGGGCCCCTCTGTGCTACCCAGATCTGGCCATAGAGGCAGTTGGGGGCCTAGTGTGTTGGGCCCCCGCTGACACTCACCAGGCTGGAGGTGAAGCGCTCCTTGATCTCCTGGGCCAGAGGCTGGATGCCACTGGCCCGCAGCTCGGGCAGGATTTCCTCTGTGGGCAGAGCGGAGGGTCCTGAGGTCAGGGCCCAGCCAGCCCAATGCTTGTACAACCCGGGCCGGGGCACTTCTGAGGCCAGTAGGACAGAGCCGGGCGCCATCCCACTCGGGCTTAGCACGACCGCACGCTGCCTCTGGGGCTCAGCAGCCGGTGACCCCCACGGTCAGCGCGGCACCCGCTGCCTTGAGTTCTGCTGTTGAACGCACAGAAGTTGCAGGGAAGGGTTCCTTTCCTTCTCCCCACCAGTAAGAGCTGGGAGCCTCTGACCACTGGCTTCCTGGGGGGATGACCAGGAAAGGGGGACTCGCACCGTAGGACGTGAGGTGGGCCAGCAGCATGCAGATGTTCACCACCACCTCCGGGTCATCCTTGTACAGCCGGTACGTCTCCCGGATGAGGCTGAGGCCGCCGCCGCCCTCCTCTGGCATTGCCACCTGCAGCGCTGCCAGCTCTGGTGGCGGGGTGGGGGGGGGGGTGGGATTCATTTCCTGCAGCTGCCTGTGCCTTGGTGTCCTCCAGGAAGGGGGCCGACGGCAGTCCAGGGTGCTCAGGATGGCAGGGACCTCCGCCACTGGCAGAGGAGGCCAGTTTCCTGCCGCCTGGGGAGCCGCTGAGGCCAGCATTGCCCCACGGGTTGTAAAGGTCGCGAAGGCATCTGCGAGCCCACTGGGACCTGGCGGGAATGTACGCCCCACCTCCCTCCCCCAGCAGAAGGCTCCCGCTCGAGGGCTGGCCTCTGCCCGCAGGCGGAAGAGAAGCGCTAGAACGCGTTCCAGAGCGTGCCTGTAGGGTGGGCCTGGGGGACCGCCAACGCGGCACACGTACACCCCCAGTTAGGGGTCAGGCCCTGGCTCTCGAGGGGCCGGAGCCTGGGGGATCTCACACGCAGACTTGAGTTGTCGGGCCCGCAGGTGGCAGAGTCCGTTCCCGCTCACACTCTGGCCCCGGCTTCTGACCACCCCTCCATTGCTGAGCCAGGTCACATCTGCCCTCAGGACCCCAGCTCCCCTTCCTGTCCCACGAAGGTCGGCAGCTGCTACAGACCCCGTGTCGGGAGAGGACGACCCTGCCGGCGCCCTTTGGAGCCTCTCCAGGAAGGAGGGCGGCCCCACTCCCACAGGCCCGGACCGCCTCAGGCCGAGAAGCAGACAGAGGCCTGGCCGCCTGGCCCCCGTCCAGCCCACCCTGTGTACCTGCCCTGAAACGCTGAGTTGGGACCAGACCTCAGAGGGGCTGGAGCACCCCTCACACGCCAGCTGGCGGCCTGTCCAGTCTCGGGTCCCAAGCGTCTCCGAAGGGTTATTGTGCCACGAGACAGTCACGGCCCCTAGCACTGCCGCCCCAAGTAACAGCGCTTAGGCTCCCGGAGTGGGACCCGTCTCCTGGGTGTTTCCATAAGCTATACCCATAGGGATACCTGCGCTGACCTAACACCTGTTCAGAGTGTTTATGGGCAGGGAAAGAGAATCTCAGCATAGCATGGAGCTAAAAAACCCCACAAAACCAGTATGTATGTGAAAAGTCTCCACGGCAACTTCTGGATGATGGGACTATAGGTTGCTCTTTTTCGATTTTGACTTTTTGGTTCTGCTTTTGGTTTGTGGGCAGCTGGCAGACACGACTTGTTGAGTCCTGGCCCCCCGCCTCCTCGGAGTAGCCCAGTCCGCTCCCTGGCTCACCGGACACCTTTGCGAGGCTGGCCAGTCCCCGGTAGGCATTGTTCACCAGTGGGATTCTGTCCTGGCAGAGCCGGATGCTTTGGAGGAACAGCGTCACCACATCTGCGAACTGGTGCTCCTTTATGCAGCCTGCGGAGGGCCTCGTCAGGCCTCCTCGCCTCACGGGTGGGGTCCGTGCCGCCCAGCCCAGGCCGCTCACCTAACAAGGACAGCAGCCAGAAGACCGCGCAGCCGGCTTCAGCCACCTCTGCGTCCGTGGGGTGGGCGGCCAGCACCTCAGCGATGAGGACCGGGGCTCTCTCCAAGGGGGTCTTGTTCACAATGACGGCTGGGACCGGGACAGGATGAAGGAGGGGACAGCTAGCCCTTGAGTGCCCGCAGGAGTGCCTGCTGTGTATGCGACCCCACGCCCCCTGCCTCCCACCAAGGACACCAGGGCCAAAGCTGCTGGGAGGGAGTTCAGGCGAGAGGGGAGTTTGGGGAGGGGAGGGACTGTCTGTCTCCAGGGGGTCTCAGGGAATTTTGCACTTTGGGTGTGGGCAGGCCTCTCTGGTTTCCCAGGGTCTCCGTGGCCCGGAGCCCCCTTCTCCTTAGAACTACTGCCCCGGTGCTGCAGGGCCCAGAGGGCGCCTGGAGGAGAGGGAGCAGCCCAGCCCCTTTTCTGAATCAGAGGCATCTGCCAAGGGCACCCTCAGAAACCAGGGACTGCCCAGGAAATCCCAGGGTGGGTGGCAGGTAGAGGGGCTCCCAGGGCAGGAGCCACCAGAGTCGGTGTGGGCGGGGGGGGGCACCCCACTCGGATAGGAAGCCTGCCTCCCCTGGGTGGAGCCCCCCTCCCTTGTCCTCCTCCCCTCCTTTCTCTTCCTCTGCTTCCAGGCTCTCAGAAGAGCCTCTCTGTGGGCTCTTGTCCTGAAGTGTTGAAGGGGCAGGACACAGAGGCCCTCGAAGGCTTGCAGAGGTGATCAGGGAGCAGTGAGGACACCAGCCCCCAGGCAGGAGAGCAGGAGGAGGGGACCCTCACCATCCACCATCAGGGCCCAGAGCAGGTTCAGGCCGTTGATGCAGATGTCCCTGTTTGTGGGGAAGGTACTCAGGTGCTCCAGGATATGCTCGAACAGCCCAGCCTCCTGGAGCTCCTCTGAGGCCGATTCTGTGGGCAAGACCCGGAGAACCCCGTCCGTCTGTGGTCCTTGCCCCCCACGTTTCTGGGCGCCTACTCTGTGCCAGTCATACCCAGTGCGGGGCCCAGAAACTGGCGGACGCGGTCCATCCCCTGGGCCGCCAGTCCCAGTATCGCCCATCCCAGTACTGGGCTGGGACCGGCCTCCCGGGACCACACAGAGCAGGCCTGAGCCTCCTGAGATGACAGCGTGATTGTGTCCCGGCGGGTGAGCCGACACCCAGTTTGCCTGATGGCTCTGATGTATGCCTGTCGTCCTGATGTGCCTCCTCAGGGCACCCTTGCCCACTCCCCACCGGGGGATCCAGCCAGTGTGGTGAGGAGCAGTGCGGGGCCCCTGCCCTTGGCTGGCCACAGGGCTCTAGGTCCCAGGGTTCACGGGCCCAGCTTCCCGCTGGAGAGAGGGCTGCTGACCCGGGGAGGAAGGTGGGAACAGGTCAGGTGCCAACGCCCTCGTCGCGATCCTCCCCATGGCATTCCCCATCTGGCCGCCTACAGCCTGCCTGCCGGCTCCAGGAGCCCAGGTGCTCTGGGGAGATGAACAAGGCAGAAGCCGCTGCCGTGAAGCCTATGGTGGCACCTGGCACCCGGTCGGTGTCCGTGCACGTTCGCGGAGGGAACAAGTGACCGTCAAATGGAAGCTCCGCGTTGGGAGACAAAACAGAACGACTGCGTGGGCGACGCCTGCCGAAGCCGGTGCAGGTCGGGCCGCATCCGGAGCGGGCACGCCCCTGTGCCCCGGCAGTGCCCCCGCCTCCGCCCGAGAGAGGGAGGGCCAGGCACACCCACCCTGGCTGGAGATGATGGCGAGCACGCTGTAGACCGTGACCAGGAGCTGCTCTGACTCGGGATGAATCCGCAGGCAGCTCAGCAGGACGGAGACGACGGAGCTCTCACTCGGCACCTCGGCCGCGGGGTCCTGTGCCAGTGCTGCTTGGGCCGAGGGAAGATGCCCAGGGTTACCTCCCGAACCTGGGTTCATGGGGCAGGTGGCAGGCAGGTGTACCCCCTCCCTGGCTGGGGTGGGGGTGGGGGGCAGTGCCCCCACTTCGCATGGAGAAAGCCTTGCCCGCCTGGCACGGAGCACGTCCCCCCAAGTGCCCGCTGCACGACAGTGAGTGGCGCTGTGCAGCCAGGGCTGGTTTCCAAGGCTCTGCTGGCTCTGGGACGGCGTGCCAGAGTCCACATCTGACACAGGCGTGGCCCGGAACCCACCTTGGCCCAGGGTGCGCAGCAGCAGGGAGCAGGCGTGCAGCTGTATGTCAAGGATCCTCTCGTGTTGCTTCATGATGGCGGTCAACAACTCCACCAGTTCTGTCGGCCATGGCAGACCTGGCAGGGCAGGGCGACGAGGTGAGCCTTGGCATAGGAGCAGGGGTGGGACGGGTGTACAGACCAGACCAGGGACCCCAACTCCGCTAGGAGTGCACAGGGCATCGTGCACGCGGCCCCGGAGGGACGCGGAGGCGGGGAAAGAAAGTCCTTATTGGGCGCCTGCCGTGTGTCTGCTGTGAGCATCTCGTTCCAGCAGCCCTTCTTGTCACTCTTGTCTTACAAATGAGGAAACTGGGCAGAGAGAGGACAGCTCTCGCCTCAACAGCCTGACTCTGGAGCCCGTGGCCATAACTACCCTGAGTGTGGGCATCTGTGGGTGTCGCTGACTCTCCTCAGTGCTGTGTGTGCTGGGTAGGAGTGAGAGGCGGGGGCGGGCAGCTGACGGTCCAGTGCCCGCTGTGCCCCTCCACTGCTGCTTTGTTGCCTCGTTCAGTGAGAACAACCAGAACGAGAGTGCTGGCGCCCAGGAGGCCGAGTACAGCTAGCCCGCCTCCGAATGAGGCTGGCTGGGGCAGGTGTGGCCCCAGGGAAGCCTCCCTCAGCTCCTCTGGGAAGATAAAATCTCCCTTCCTATGGACTCTACTCTGGCCACAGCCTAGCTCCAGAAGGAGTCAAGGGGAGGAATGAGGAAGAGGGAAAGGCAAGTGGCCAGTGTGAAGTCTCTGCTGCTGCCTTAGAGGGCTGGGACTGGGCCTCTGCAATCTCTGATGCCCCAGCCACCGAACGGACCTTTGTGCAAGGACGGATGGACAGATGGCTGATGGATGGGTAGATGGACAGATGGACGGATGGATAGATGGATAAACAGACAGTTGAGGGATGGTTAGATAGATGGGGGGGGGGTGGAGGAGGGCTGATGGATGGATGGATGGATAGATGGGGGGTGGATGGATGGGTGTGTGAGTGAATTGTTGGATGGATGGATGGACGGACAGATGGATGGACGGATGGTTAGATGGGGAGTGGATAGACGGATGGACGGACAGTTAAGATGGAGTGGTGGATGGAGGGCTGATGGATGGGTGGATGGATGGGTGGATGGATGGATGGATGGATGGACGGACAGATGGATGGACGGATGGTTAGATGGGGAGTGGATAGACGGATGGACGGACAGTTAAGATGGAGTGGTGGATGGAGGGCTGATGGATGGGTGGATGGATGGATGGACGGATGGACGGACAGTTAGATGGTGAGTGGATGGATGGGTGTGTGGGTGGGTCGGCAGATGGATGGATGGGTAGATGGACAGTTAGATGGGAGGATGGATGGAGGGCTGATGGATAGGTGGACAGATGGATAGATAGATGGGTGGATGGATGCACGGAATGGATGGTTAGATGGGGGGTGGATGGATGGATGGACAGTTAGGTGGCGGTGGTGGGTGGATGAAGGATGGGTGTGTGGGGAGGGTGGGTGGGTAGATAGGTACTTAGGTGGGGGAGGCGGATAGGTAGACAGATGGATAAATACATGAATAGATGGGTGGGTGGATGGATGGATGGGTAGATGGATAGTTAGATGGGGGGATGGATGGAGGGCTGACGGGTGGCTGGACAGGTGAGTGAACATAATATTCACTCTCGTGAGACAAGTTGAATGGAGAGATTTTATGAAACCATGTTTTGCAAAATTTAAAGGATTACGAACACTTATTGATGGAGAGTGTTGGGAAGAAATGCTGTCCTTGACAGGTGGGTAAGTTGGGGTCTCTGTGGAGGGCAGTTTGCAGTATCTGTGAACTCTTCACAGCCCAGACATCTAGGAACTCATCCTACAGAAACGCTCACACAAGTGCACACGGGCATATGCTCCAGGGCATCTGCTGTGGGTTTGCTCATGATGCTGGACAATTAGGAACAGGTCAGATGCCCGTCAGCAGCAGCGGTGGAAGAGGTGGGATGTCACGTTAAGAATCCACGAAAAGCGTGTGACGGCAGGCTGCCACAAGCTGCACACCGAACCGTCCCATTCCCGCTTTCTGCCGGGTAGAAGGCGCTCGCCCGCCAAGAATTCCAGGCTGCCCGATCCAAGCAGGTGGCAACATGAGCCTCAAAGGTGTAGGAGAGCCCCTCTAGGAGAGCCTCTGGGAGGGATCACCGCTCCCCCAAAGGCCCGTGCCGCAGGGTGAGCCCCGGGGGAGCTGGGGAAGGGGGGTGGGGGCCCTACCTAGCTGCTCTTCAGGCATCTTCAGGAGCCTCTTCAGGGCTCTGAGCTGGACTTCGGGTCTGCCGGAGAAGTTCTGCATGACGTCTGCAGGAGACAGGACGGCATGGGGAGGAGCCCGGCTGGCTCGGGGACCCTTCCGAGGGCCCGGGGCACGAGGGGTCCATCTGTGGGCACCCCGCTGCTCACGGATACATATGATAGGGCATGAGGGGGCGCCCTTATCCCCACTTCTCAGGCCGAGCAGCCTGTCCAGAGGCAGACCCCAGCCTTAGAGTCTCACTCGAGGCTCAACATGGCCAGGGTTCTGCCCCGAGCCCAGGGCTCTTCCCACTCTGCCTCTGAGCCTCCCCGCAGGGGTCTTTGCCTTCGATTCATGACAAACGCCCCCAGCCCCCGAAAGGAGCAGCAGTCTCCAGGTGTGCCCATTGTAGAGCCCTTCCCTATCCCCTGGCTGATTCAGAGCCCCTCCTGCACCCGTGTCTGTGCACAGGGCACCTCATAGAGGCCCACAGATGGGCCCTGCAGCTCCCCTCGCTCTAGATGAGGGAACGGGCTCAGAGGGGGTGGCTCGCTCAAGGCCACTCAGCTTCAACCGGACCTAGGGACCTGCCTCCAAAGCCCAGGACCGTGAGACTCAGGGAAACAGAAGCTAGGGCCTCGTGAGCACCCCTTCCCCAGAAGTGGGGGCAGAAGCGGCAGACGGGGGAGGGGGTCCCTCATCACAGCAGCCAGCGCAGGGAGCCACAGATGGGGAGGAGGGCTGGGAAAGTGGAGCTCGAGTGGAAACTGAGGGTGACCTGTAGACCTCATCGTTCACCCAAGACCTCAGGGGTACTGTGGGGAGCCGCGGGGCGCCCCTGGCCAGGGGCACTTGGTGGAGATACGGTGCTGTGTGTGCACGGGCACCAGGTGACTGGTGGCACCCCCGACGGAGGCCAGTGTGCGTCGCACTGCACGGAGCCCCCACAGGGATGCGCCTGCCAGTCTGAGAGTGTCCGGCACCATGACGGGCATCGGGGCCACCGTGTGCCAGGGCGTGGAAGCAAAAAGCAGGCAGCTCTGGGGGCTGTAAGAATGAGGGAGCTGTTCGGCTATGTTGAGGACCGTGGAACAGGAAGGGAAGGGAAGCAGGTGGGGGCCAGGCACGAGGATGGACGCTTAGAGGTGGCGGGGGTGGGGGAGGGGACGCGAGGGGCTGGATGGAGGGGAGTGCCTTGAAACCTTCCCAGCCACCGGCCGCATGTCGGGAGCAGACCAGGGGACTGGGCCTCAGGGGAGGTAAGAGAGCAGTGCCAGGGCCCTCCCCATCCGGTCCCCGCCATCACCTATGATGCTGGCGATGCTGCCCCCTAGCAGCAGGTCGGTGACTGAGTCAGGCATCAGCTGCCAGTGTGGTGACAGAGCGATGCTGGAGGACCTGAAGTTGCTGCCCACAAAGGTGATGTGTATCACTTCCCTGGAGAGGAGTGGAAGCAGCTGGCTGGGCTCACCTGGGGGCTCTCGGGGGGGCTCTGGGTGTGGCCGGCAGGCGGGTGCACGGACGCCGGAACCCCACCTTCCCGTTGGGGACCCCATTCGGCGGCACCTCTCCCGACGTTGCAAGCGTGCCCCGCTGGCGCCCCAGCCACTCCACCTCCTGGAGGGGCCCCGGGCTTGCTCCCAGGGCGAGGGAGGACGGTGCTGGGCCCCGGCAACCTCACCCGCGGGGGCTCCTTCCTCGAGAAAACGTATTGAAAGATCAGGTGTTACTATTGTGTCGGTATAATGGCGAGTAGGGGCCAGGCTGGACTGGTTGTTGTATATTCCTGTTTTCCTTCTTACTTGAACGTAAATTGCAACGAAGACCGGTCCTGGTCCTCAGGGCCTTGGCGCCTGACGGAGGAGCCGGCTCTGTCGGCTGTGAGGTCACCGGTTACCGCGGTTTGGGACGGCCACACTGGGAAAGCCAGTGGTCCGTGGATGGGACGGCGTGTTTGCGGCGTTAAAACGCCAAGTGGCGGGGAGACACCGTGAGAGATCCATGGGAAGATTAAAACACGGCCCCAGCCCCCAGCTCACCTGATTGTTATTCGCTCCGAAGGGTTGATCTGCAGCATCAAAGGCAAAAGGGAACCGAAAGTTTCCGCGTTGGGGATCTTCTTCTCCTCCAGGGTCTCCAGGACGCCCCTCAGGCCATTCGGGAGGGTCCGGAGGGACTTTCTCAGAAGCATGGCTTCTGTTTTCTGAGGGGACACAGACAAACACCGCTGCTTCCCGCGCTGCGTCAACGGCGCCCCAGCTGGGCCCGGCCCCTGCAGAGGACTGGCTGGCCTGTCCCAGGGCCACCCTGAGGGGGCCAGAGGTGGGAAGGCTGGGGAAGTGAGCCTGCACGGCTACCTGGGGGCCCCGGGTGACAGGCAGCCCCTGTGTGTTCAGGCCAGCCTTGGTCAATTTCCTGTGGCACCTGCATCCCACCGCGGGCCGGCTAGTGCACCTGAACGGGGCCTTCTCATCCACAGGAGGCAGTGAGTATGCGGGGAGCCCGCTGTGAGGGTTAGCGTGGGGCGGTCTGCCTGTCATGGTCGTGGCCCTCCTCACCACGCCGGGGCCCCGGAGGCCCAATGTTGAGTGCGAGGGTCCCCCAGCAGCTGGGACGGGGGGGGGGGGTTCCTCACGGCCCCTTGGAGGCTCAGAGCAAGGCAGGAGGATGCAGGTGGAAAGAGTGAGCCCCTTTTGAGCAAGGTGGGCAGGGCCGGCCTTCTGGGGACGTGGGGTGCGGCAGGGAGGGGCAGGCAGAAGGCAGCTCACGTCTGTGAAGGAGCAGCTGGCCATGTCCAGGATGATGCAGCCCAGGGACCAGACGTCAGATCTCTGGCTGAAGGAGAAGCGGAGGGCCTCGGGCGCCATCCAGGACTTCTGACAAGGGTCTGTCGGCAGGAGAAGGTGTCAGATGTGGGAGTCCTGTCTCCCTGGGAAAGTGAGGGGAGGCTCACTTTCACCAAAGAGGTGCTCTCTTTGCAGGGAAAGGAAGAGGGCCCTGGTCAGCGACATCCCGGCCCTGGTCTCAGACAGCGAGGCAGGTGCCCAGCCAGGCTGGCCCGTGTGTGCACGCACGCGTGTCTCTGCACGCAATATGGCTGCAGAGGTGGCCCAAGAGCCGTGAGCCAACAAGGCTGAAACTTCCACCCTCTCTGACCATCTTGCCCCTCTAAAGGTCAGAACCCGGAGGCAACGTTCCAGTTTCCCCACCCTAGTTTCTAAAACCTGAACCCCAGACAAGGAGCCAAAAGAGCAGGGTCACCAGTCTGTTAGTCCCTGATAGACCTCAGGCAGCCCCTCCCTCTCCGGGCCTTCATTCCCCAATCGAACGGTAAAGGGGAGAACTCCAAGGACCCTCCTACGTTTCCAGTAGACCCACCCACTCACCCATCCGCCCACACGTCCATCCCTCCGCCCATCTATCTGCCCGTCCGTCCGTCCGTCCATTTGTCCTCTAGGCAACCAGGACTCTGAAATTCTCAACTACGGTTACTCTCTCTGTCCCTGACAGCTGGCATGGGCTTGAAGCCCAGCTCCCTTTGCCCCACTGTCCTTCCAAAGGAAGGAGAAGCCGTCTCCCCTTACTCCCCATGTCTACCATCTCCTCGGTTATTTTTAGGGCTCAGTAAAGTAACCCAGCCCTCACCGGTGCCTGGCACCCACCAGCTCTCCATCTCCTTCTCAGGCCATTCTTCTCCTTCCACGAAGGCTAACATTTCCTGGGTGTCTTTTGGACCCTGCGTGCGCCCCCTCCCCTGCCACGGTGGTACCCCTGCTCAGTTACAACCCAGGCAAGGGGGTCTCTTTGGAGCCCACAAAAGCCCATGGGGGTCTGTGGGGAACTTCTGAACAAGGAGAGGTTTGACCCGTTCCACCAGGGGGCCCCGCCCTCTGGGATCTCGGAACGACCCCACTAACCCCACTGGCAGCGTGGCCCCTCCCCCAGCCTGGGACGCAGCCTGGGACGACCCCGGGCCACCTTCCTCCGCGCGGATGTTCCACTTGGCTTTGTCCATCATCAGCGTGTTGCAGCTCAGGTCCTGTAATTTGCAGTGGTTGCTGCTGCTGAGGACTATGTTGGAGGGCTTGAGATTCCTGAAACGAAGAGGCAGGCCTCTCCACCCGCCCCCACCACCGGCTGCCACGGGTGACCCTCCCGGGGCAGGGGCCAGCACCTTGGACCTCCCTCCCTGCTCCCTGCCCCACCCAGTCCTGCTCCGCTCTCCGGAAATGCACCCCTTGCAGCCTGCTTTTTAAATACTGCTTCCTACAGAAATAAAGTCTACTCCGTTCTTCTAAATGGGAAAACCACCAGGCAGCCACAAGGAGGAAAACACCTGACCGTCTGCCGTTTCTCCACTGCCATCTCGCTCACCTCCCTCCAGACCCTCGCTATCCATGCATCTGCTTAGGGATTTGGCTTTTGACCATTTGTTGAGGTCCAGTGACATCAACACTAAATCGTGAGCATTCTCTTCGTCCACGTGGTCCACGCGTTTCTTCCCTCTTCCTTTAAACCCGACACTGATTCAGTCTGAAGCCATTCCCTGCCCCTTTGGACCGTGGATGCCACAGGGTGAGCGAAGCCGTGCTGGTGGCGATCTCAAGCTCAGCCCTGGGGACGGCAGCAGCCCCGCCAGCCGGCCAGAGGCCACGGCGCGCAGCCTAATCTCTTTCCTCCGAATGCTGTGATCTGGCCGCTCTCCCTGCACTTTAGAACCAACCCGCCCCGGTCAGCTTATGCTTCATGAAGCTGGGTGAATCACTGCAGGTGACGTGGAGGGGGTGGCCGTCCCTTTACGCCTCGGAGCTGCTCTGGAAAGGTGCCCGCTCTTATCCTGGCTGCGCTGACCCCGGCCACGCCTCTCTGCCCTGCCCCTGCCCCTGCCCCCGGGTACTGACACCTAAGGGGACTCAGTGCCTTTGCTCCTGAAGCAGCCTGGCCGCCCCGGTCACCTGTGGATGATATCTAAGTGGTGCAGGTATTCCAGAGCGTCCAACACCTGGTCCAGCATGTTCTGCATCCACTGGGGGGAAAATGAGAGATCGGAGGATCGGAGGGGTCTCCCGGCAGCCGGCTCAGGCAGGTCAGCGACCACACAGAACAGCCGGTGGGATCATGGTGTGTTCTTCTTTTTTTTTTTTTTTAATTTTTAAATGTTTTTTATTTATTTTTGAGAAGGGGGGGAGAGTGGGTGTGTGCTGGTGGGGGAGGGGCAGAGAGAGAAGGAGACACAGAATCCAAAGCAGGCTCCAGGCTCTGAACTGTCAGCACACAGCCCGACCGGGGCTTGAACTCACAAACCATGAGATCATGACCTGAGCCGAAGTCGGACGCTTAACCGCCTGAATCCGCCAGGCGCCCCTCTCCTTGCTTCTTTTTAAAAAAAAATTTTTTTTAATGTTTTTGTTTATTTTTGCGACAGAGAGAGACAGAGCATGAGCAGGGGAGGGACAGAGAGAGAGGGAGACACAGAATCGGAAGCAGGCTCCAGGCTCTGAGCTGTCAGCACAGAGCCCGACGCGGGGCTTGGACCCACAGACTGTGAGATCATGACCTGAGCCGAAGTCAGATGCTTAACCGACTGAGCCACCCAGGCGCCCCTCTCCTTGCTTCTTAAGACAGGCCCAAAGCCCCACAAAAGCTCAGGGCCAATGCAAGAGGCTTCTGCTTCATGTGCCTTTGGGGCTGAAGTGTGTGCGGCCATCCAGACAGTGACAGCACGTCAGCCAGGGCAACGCCCCAGTTTCCAGACCACCTGCCCCTGCTTCCATCTCAGGTGCCCTGACCCCAGCCCTGTGCTCCACCCCTTGTGGCCCAGGGGCCTTGTGGGGATCAAAGATATTGAAATCTTTATTGCCTACTTGAGGTTTGCCTCTCCATGCCATTGGAATGAAAAGTGCTCTGACAAAGAACATTCTAGAAATACTTTATGTCAGAAACAAGATCCATCTAGTGTCCAGGGCAGTGATTTTCTTTTTTTTTTTTTTTTTTTAATTTTTTTTAATGTTTATTTGTTTTTGAGACAGAGACAGAGCATGAATGGGGGAAGGTCAGAGAGAGAGGGAGACACAGAATCTGAAACAGGCTCCAGGCTCTGAGCTGTCTGCCCAGAACCCGACGCGGGGCTCGAACTCACGGACCGCGAGATCATGACCTGAGTCGAAGTCGGACGCCCAACCAACTGAGCCACCCAGGCGCCCCCTAGGGCAGTGATTTTCAAACCGTGTTCCTAGGAACCCCGGACTCTACCCAGGGGTGTCAGAGAGGAGCTGAGCGTACAAGACCCCGGGCTTCCACTCTACCCTCCACCAACCCTGCCATGCCCCCTGATTAGAATAGCTTTGCCTTCCTTGCTGGGTTTCTGAGAACATTTTGTGCTTGAAAGGGTTCCACCACTAACAGAAAGTTTGAAACCTACTCCAGAACCGACCCTGAGGCCCATGTTGGGAGAGGAGCTGTGTGCCCACAGGCCCCCTGAGCAGAGGGGCGCCTACAGCAAAAGCAGGCAGAATTCACTTGGGGTGCATCATCGGCAATGTGAAAGCAAAAATGACCTAAGCAAAAATGACCTCGCTTAAAAGGCAACAGGAAAATATCCTCATGACCTTGGGGCAGGACAGGCTCTCAGATAGGCTCAAAGGCGCTAACCATAAAAGAAGGACAGAGAACCTGACTTCATTACAATTAAGGAGTTCTGTTCATTAAAAGACAAGGTTAAGAAAGCAAATCAGGAAGCCACAGTCTGGGAGAAGACTCTGGATGCCCGCATCCATGATATGTAAAGAATACCTACACACCAACAAGAAAAGACAAACAACCGCAACGTTTAAATGGACAAAAGACTCGAACAGGCACAACATCCAAATGGCTAAAAAGCACTCGCCACGATTACTGAGCTTATCTCAAATTAAAACGTGATTTTTAATTAAAATGGCACAGAATGCCGTGTTGGCCAGGAAGCAGGAACCGGAATGCTCACAGCTTGTGCTGGGAGTAACCCCGAGTCACCTAAACTGTGCTGGACACTGGAACATGTACGGAAGCTACTCACACACACACCCGCTCTGCGGTCCAACAACTGCACGCCCAGGGATTCCTCCAGGAAAGGTGAGCACTTAGGTTGACCAGAAGGCACATCCAGCATTGTTCATGGCAACCTGATTCATAATAGTCCGAAACTGGGAACAAGCCACGTGGCCAGACAGATGTGGCCCCGCAATGGGGTGGCACCTAGCCACGACATGGACAGTTTCATGATACATTCGCGTAAGAAACCAGACACAAACGGTGACACGCTGTATGAGCCCATTAATGTGAACCCCAGGGCAGGCAGAAGAATGTCTGGGCGGAGAATTCCAACCATGGGCATGGACAGGGACTTCTGGAGCTCCAGGAGTGTTCTGCATCTCCAAGTGGGGGAGGTTACGTGAGCGTACGCCTGGTACGGTGCACCAAGCTGTGCACTGAAGGCCTGTGCACGTCACAGCGTGAAAATACCTCTAGGCATAGATGTGAGAAAAGATAAGGCACGTCCGCCCTCCCTTCTGCCCCCGATTGAGGTCCAGGTGGCCCCCAGGCCTGGTGTTCTAGAGAGTCTGTCTCACCTCGGAGTCAATGATTGTCTTTGTCTCCCTCTTCTTCTCAATGACCTTCTGGAAGCTTCCATGGTTGTACTCCATCACCAGGCAGAGGAACAGAGAGGAGACCTGCTGGGGACATGAGGCCTAAGCCAGATGTCACAGTCCCAGCCCCCACAAGCCCAGGCCTGGGCGCCTCTGCGAGTCTGTGAGGGCCTCCCTCCACAGGGCTATGGGAGCACTGCCTGCAGTGGGATATGAGCCCCCCGCAAACAGCCCCTGCTCACGCCTCTGGCCTCATCCATCCTCTCGTCCCTCTCTGTCCCTGCTCCATCTGTATGAACCCCTCAGACTTTTCTGAAAGTGGCCCAGGCCTTCTGGCTACTGTATACACAGACCCCCGCACCTGGGACCCCTTCTTCACAGGTAACCATTCAGTCTTTAGGGCTCAGCTTACGTCTGTTTCCTCTGTCAGGGGAGCCTGGCCCGGGTGGGACTCCAGCAGACCAGGTCAGGGGCCTCAACTCAGGGCTCTCAGAGGACCCCTGCTTTTGCTTCCACAGTGAAATGCCCTCTTGGCTTTTCTGTGTCTCCTTGAGAGCGTTACAGGGCGCTCTGAAAATATTCGGGGTGCACACAGTGATGGCCTCTCCCTAAGGCTTTCCTCAGGGCCCAGCTGAAGAGGGGGAATATGTATGAGGGGACCCTCCACTCCTGCTCAAGCCCTTGGTTGCCACCCACCCCTCCCCCAGACAGGGACACTAAGGCAGAGGTCTGAGTCTGCCAGGAAGCCTTGTGGCCTCCCTTCACCTCCAGGGCCCCTGCCCCACCCAGCTCAACCCATCTGGGACGATTTGTAGGACCCTAGATCCCTGTAAAGACCAGAAGTCACATGGCCTATGGGGTGAAACACAGGGCTTGGGGACTTACAAGACCCTGATTTGAATCTTACTCAGCTGCTACTGGCTGTGTGGTCTCGGAGACCTCCTTAACCTCTCTGAACCCCGAGAAAATGAGGACACTACGTCCAACCTGCAGATCTCCCAGGGTGTAGGGACGGCCATTAGTAAACTTCAGGAGCCGCAAACGTCAAGGGTCCAGAGGCACAGGACAAACTGATGCCAAATAAGGGGGGAGAGCAGGGACCAGCCTCCTAAAGTCTGTTCCTTCCGTGAAAGTCAAAAGTTCCCCCTTCAGAGGGCAGACTCATGGAGGCTTTGGCTGCAGGATGAGCTCAGCAGCTGAACACACAGGGCACTGGAGTCAAGCCTTCCAGGCCCGGCCTCTTGGCTGGGCCACGGACTAGGTAGGTAACCAGGAGGGACTGGTTTCTCTTAGCCTTTCTTTCTTCCCTAAAGTCGTATACTAACCCCTCCTCCACTGAGACTCCTGCGGGCTCATAGGAGATGATGCCCACAGAGTCCCCAACAGGGCCCCGGTAAGTGCTGAGTCAGGGGCCGCCGCATTTACAGTCCCTGCCATTACTGCTCAAGGGGTTAAATGGCATCAGGGTGCTCTGTGCCCAGCTGGCTTCTTCCTGGAGCCACCGGACGCCAGCTGAGCCCAAAGGTGTTGGCTCTGACCCACCTGACTGTTCCATATGATGAACAGCTCCTGGTATATGGAGATGTGGGCGTGCCGGAGCTTCAACAGCGGCGTCAGCTGCAGGGACGAGAGCAGAGGAAGTGGCCACGTGTGGGAAACACTGCTCCTCAGCTAGCGCTTCCGTGTCACGTTATCCCGACAAAAACGCAAGCTTCTGGCTCTGAACGGGGCTGGGGAGCGCGCACGAGGAGGGTATGCAGTCTTGTGCTTCAGAGTCAGACAGCCCCGGGTGGGTCCCGGCTCTCCAGCATGTGCCGGCTGTGCTGTGTGGCCGAGGAGAGGCTCCTCAACCTTTCTGAGCTTCTAGCCTCATCTGAAAATGGCAGTAACAGTGGCACCTGCCTCACGGGGGTGTCGAGGGCCAAAGTGAGCTCATCCAGGGAAGTGCCTGATGTGGACGGCAAAAAGCACGGTCAGGGTCAGCTGGAGAAGGTGGTGCGGCCACAGGGAGGCGGGACACCGATGCACTTGCCCCCACCTTGCCTCCTGGGTGGCACACACTTGGGGCTCCAATGGCCCACTCCCGGCTGACGGTGCTTGAAGAAGCCACACGGCTGGGCCACAGCAGTGGTGGCCGTAGCCACCAGGAGGCAGGCGGCCAGCTGCGGCTGGTGGAGGGCTGGCTGCCAGCACAGGTGGCCCGGCGGAGTGGGGAAGGGGACGGGGTCGGGCACAGCTGTGGTGGCGTGGGGGCTGCGGGAGGTCTCTCCCACGGTCTCTATCTCACTTTGTCGGGATGTGGCCTGGGTCCTGCACTGTGCCTCCCTCACACTGTGGACTGCACAGCTGGGTGCTGGCAAAGCTCAGGAACCGGTGATTCCGGCAAGATGGCAAACGGGTGACCACCACACAGGAAGGGAGGCATTTGCTTCATGCAAGTTGAAGTTGAAGACAAGCAAAGGAAAACTGCTCGGAGCCTTTGGGCAATCCAAGCGCGTGTGGCTGTTAGTGCGATTGTTATAAGTTAGGATGTTATCGTGGGTTCTGATTGGTAGATTGAAGGAACGTAAGAGAACGTACATTTGCTTTCTCAAGCAATTCCAAACTTCCCAAATCTTCTACTGTAACTGGTATTTTTATAATCGAAGGGACAATGTTTTAAAAGATGGTGATTGGTAGATTAGTCTTGGGACCTGGCCAACTTGTAAACTTTATCTTCTTGGGGCACCTGGGGGGGCTCAGTCGGCTAAGTGTCTGACTTTGGCTCAGGTCATGTTCTCATGGTTACTGAGTTCGAGCCCCACATTGGGCTCTCTGCTGTCAGCAGAGAGCCTGCTCTGGATCTTCTGTCTCCCTTTCTGCCTCTGCCCAGTTTGCTCTCACCCTCTCTCTCAAAAATAAATAAACATAAAAAAAAAAACAAAACCTTTATCTTCTCTGAGAACATATATTCTGGGTTGTCTGCCCCAGAATTCAGAGACGAATGTTTGGGGCACAGACTCTCTTCATGACCTTGGGGCTTCTGGCTTTGCAGCACTGGGCAAGAACTGGTTCTGACCCTCCTTGCCTCCAATGAGGTACAGAACAGTCTTTGTGTGTTCTGCATCGGGTCCTCTAGGGAGGGAACCACCCAGAAAGTTACCTCCTCCAAGGCCTCGTTGGCCTGATGCTCATCAATACACTCCACCTGTAGGGGTACAAGAACACTAACTCAGTAAACGTGTAGGAACCCATCTCCACCACCACTCTCATCAAGATCGCCATCTCCACGACTACCACCGCCACCACCATCACCATCATCATCATCATCACCGTCATCATCATCACCATCATCACCGTGATCATATTATCACCATCACCATCGTCGCCATCATCATCACCGTCATCGCCATCACCAACATCACCATCACCGTTGTCACTGTCGTCACCATCATCAATCATTGCCATCATCACCATGACTACCATCATCACCATGATTGTAACCATCACCATCATCCTCACCACCATCACCATCGTCATTGTCATCACCATTGCCACCATCACCATCTCCATCATAACCAGCATCATCATCATTACCATCACCATCATCACCACCATCAACACCATCATCACCGTCATCGCCATTACCAACATCACCACCATCACCGTTGTCAGTCATCACCATCATCAATCATCGCTATCGTCACCATGACTACCACCACCACCATGATTGTAACCACCACCACCATCACCATCGTCATTGTCATCACCACTGCCACCATCACCATGTCCATCATCACCATCATAATCATCATCAATACCATCACCATCGTCACTGTCGTCACCATCATTGTCATCACCACGGCCACCATCGCCATCAGTATCACCACCATCCCCACCATCACCATCACCATCATCACCATGATCATGATCATCACCATCATCACCACCATCACCGTTGTCACTGTCATCACTCTCATCATCACCATCATCATCATTGCCACACCACCATGACCATCACCATGACCATCATCACTGTCACCATCATCACCATCATCATCACCACTATTATTCACTGGGACGGGGGGCCGGGCTTCTACCACTTGTGCCCCACCACATGGCACCAGGTGAGGCCTGGAGTTGTTCCTAAGGCAGGGATATCCAAAAATGCTTTGAGCAACGAGAACATCTTTACTCCTGTCACAAGGATAAGCCTAGGATAGAATAATATAAACTCCAAACAACATTAGAGGATCCTCCGGTTGGCCAAGTATCAACCTCACCGCTTCATTCCTTATCCAAACTAGGAAGTTTGTCCCTGTCACTGAACATGGGGCAGTGGGGGAATGTGGGAGAAAAAGGGTGGTTGATGGGAGGAGCAGCACGAAACTTCGAGTCTACCACATACTTGGTGGGAAAGTATTCATGTATTTTGCAGGAGCATATCATCCCCGCCTCTAATACCAGATCCTCACCCAGAGCTTCTGCTCGTAAGACTTACAGATGATGAACTCTTAGGGGCGCCTGGGTGGCTCAGTCGGTTAAACATCTGACCTCGGCTCGGGTCATGATCTCATGGTTCGTGGGCTCAAGCCCTGCATGAGGCTCCGAGGCTCGGAGTCTCGAGCCTGCTTCAGATTCTGTGTCCCACTCTCTCTTGGCCCCTCCCCCGCTCACACTGTCTCACTCTCTCTTTCTCAAATATAAATAAACATTAAAAAAATTTAAAAACAAATGATGAACTCTTATAACTGGGGTGATCGTAGGTGAAAATACAGAGGTGGTGGCTTATTCCCAGATCCCGTAAAGACCCCAGATGGAGCAGCACAGTGAGACTGCCTTCCCTTCCTCCTGTTCCAGGGGCTCATTCTTATCGGTGAATTTGACCAACACACCCTGAAAGCCTTCAAAATGTCACCTCCTTTGCCCTAGATGCCCCACCCCTAGGAATTGATCCCCAAGGATATCATGGATCCTCAAAAAAGTGAACTAGAAGGTTGCTTATCAGAGTTGTTGACACAGAGTGAAAAATCAAGAACAGGCTAAGCGCTTATCATACGTGAAGGGCTCAGAGATCGTTGGGGACAGTTACAGTCCATCAAGCAGGTGGGGCCACGCTCCTTGATCCCCCAGAAAGCAGTCGGCTGTCCTGCTCCAGTGGCCGGAGAGACAATGGGGGCGGCCCTCCAGCCAGCCTGCAGTGGAGCCAGAGGAAGGTAAGGACTCCAGGCCCAGCCTCCTCTGGTAGAGGCTGCTGAACTGCTCCACAGGCAGGCCGCCTGGTCAGCAGAAGTGGGCCCAGCAGCTGATGCCAGCGAGGCTCTCCCACGTGCACGGTCAACCCCAATTCCACGGTATCGCAGCCGTCACCGTGCACCACGAGGGCGGGGCCGGAACTCTCAGGCGGCCCTCTTCTCCTACACCTTCTGTGCGGACATCTGAACCGCCCTGGCTCGGATGCACAAAGGGCTTTCCCCCTGCAGGTCTGTACCCACCCTCTGCCATGCCACCCCGGTGAGGAGGTGGCGGAAGGGCCCAGGGCCCGATGATGTCCTGTGTGACCTCGGGCGAGTCCCTGCCCACCCCTCCTCCACCCCAGGCCTGGCTCCCCTTTGGTAAAAAGATGGCCCTGCTGAGGTAGCCTGAATTCGCATCCTCTTGGGAGCTGATGCTGGCCAGCTACAGCTATCCTTGTAGGATATCCTTGAAGGCCAAGCCTCCCTATCCTTGTAGACCGGGGCCATGGCTCCTGCTTGGCAGGGCTGGGGGGAGACTGAATGCGACTGGCTGGAAGCACATGCTGAATAAGGGGCTGGTATGGTTGCAGTTGTTGAAGTTAAAATGAGCACTCCTACTCCACGCAGGTGAGAGTCAAGTGTGTCGGGAAGCCTGGGGAGCCTCGTGCCGCCCCCACGTCTACTCTCAACCGGATCTGCCTCCGTGACTGCCGGCAGAGAGGAAACAGCTCTCATCGGGAGGGAGCCCTTCTCTAACATGGGGGCAATAAGTGTACGTTTGGGGACACCACTCACGCTAGGATGCCACCAGAGTCACCTCTTACCTGCTTTATCACGTACTTTACTTTGTTTTCTGTTTTCTCCACCACCAGGTTCATCCCCAAGGCCCCAGGACTCAGCTGGTCCAAAATCTAGCAGCAAGAGAGAGAGAGAAGCTTTCAGCAAACGCACACGGATGGCTTTTCCCTTTCCAAAGTGCGCTCAACTCCGACGCCTTTTCTGACCCCAAGCCCCCTCGCAGACTAGCAGAGCAAGCGTCTCCACCACATTTTGCAGAGAAGGAAATGCCCAGAAGGCTGAGGAGCCCTCAGAAGGCAGAACCTGAGCCCGTCTCTCCGTGGGCCAATTCTGGAGCTCTTTCCACCACCCTGTAACCCCTTCTCCAGGCTGCAGCAGGGAGCAGTGGGCATCCAAGAGCCAGTACCTCCCTGGGGCAGAGCTTTGTTCACTCTCTCTAGCCCCCCTATTATTCCAGCTTCCAGCACCCACCTCCGAACTGAACATCCAAACAAGAAAATAACTGGTCCGTAATGGCTGTGTAGTTACAGCTATGTGTGGCCTGGCACTGTGCCAAGCACTTTACAGCCCCCTCCCCCTGGTGAGTGGCACTATTGTTACGTCCACGTCCATACTGGAGAAAACTGAGGCATAGGGAGCGAGGTCCTTGCCTGAGGCTACAGTGTTAATAAGTTAGAAGGCCTGGAGTGGACGGGAACTCTGGGGTCTGACTCCAGGGTCTGCATTATGAAGCAAACCTGCAGAGATGGCCACCAAGTCAGAAATCTGTGCAGGAGGCCAAGGACTATGGGGTAGGCTGGACGATGGAATTACACCTGCCAGGGGATAGAGGAAGCCTGGCAGGATGGAGAGGAGTGGATGTAGGAAGTGGAACCCTGAGTCTAGGGCCTCTCAGAGCCCGGGAAAGTCTTGGATTCTGCAATCCAGCCCCTGTGGGTGGACTGAATTGTGCTTAGGGAATTTGGGGGACAATGTACTACTGAGTGGCTTAAGCCAGTCTAAGGATGCACAGCTGAGGCTCTCTTAAGTGGTGGGGTAAACAGTAAAACACTCGTAGCTCAGATGGGGTCTCTGGTTTTCTCTCCCAAAAAGTAACTTTGCCTTTAAAATTCTCTGCCCCCCAGAAACTCATCTCCTTTACAGGGCTGACTTCCCCGTAGCCCTCCCACACAAAGGAAGGGAGTTCTCCCAAAGTGAGCAAAATCTTATCTACAAATTGTTTTCAAATTAATGAAATCTTTACAAAGACTGAATCTAACATTTGATAAAGTTGGCATATCATGTATCGAAGCAGTCAATTAAACAATTAAACACTCATTCATTTTAACTTTGCATCTTTCCTTTTGTTTTGGGAATTTTTCAAGTCTTACACATGGTCACGGGCCCTGGAAATGGTCCAAGCCCTCCCACCCGGGACTACCGACGGCGTGTATTAGGAGTTTGGAGGCTCCTGATTGTGAACTCTGGACGTTTCAGGGTGTCCTGTGTCCGCCGGCAAAACGGTGGACTTCTCTCCCATCAAGTATTCAGACGAACGATGCTGGAGAGTCATTTCATCCATCATTTTAGAGAAGGGGAAACTGAGGCCCAGAGAGGCAAAGGGCACCCAGGGGGTCGTTCCACGCGCTGGAGGCAGACCCTGGCGGGGGGGGGGGGGG